ATGACATTCCCATATTCATTCTCGATCTGAGCTAGGATGATCGGCCCGCCTTGTGAAGCAAAGAGGTTCTCATCCTTTGCCATGTTTACTATCAATGTGGTGAAGTTTTGCATCTCATTCATGAAGACGGAATTCGATGTTCTGATCTCGATTCCGGGGAGATTATGTAACCAAACTGGCAATCCTCTGTAAATTCAAAGATTAGAATATAATCCCATATAAAATCGATCACAAAATAAAAAGAAAAAAAAAAGTACCCATAATTCCACTCTGCGCAGACATAAGGGCCAATGCGAAGAACAGCGTAAAGGCCTTCATTTTGAATCCTTTTGAGGAAATCGATGAGGTCGAGATTGCCGGTGAAATCGTATTGGCGGCGCGTGGGCTCGTGGGCGTTCCAGAAAACATAAGTTTCAATGGCGTCCAATCCGCCTTCTTTAGCTTTCTTAATCAAATCCGACCACATCTACGACAAATAAACGATCATATATCAGTTTTTGGGTTGATGGGTGGTTTATTCGTTTTTAATAACACCAACAAGTTCAAAATTAGAGCCGTACCCCAGGAGTGCTTCGTGGGTAATGGATTGAACCAGAGAGGAGGATCCTGGGCTTGCCATCGATGGTGATGGCTCGGCCGGTGTGGGAAACTTCAATGGCGGTGGTGGTGAAGATGAAGACGAAGGCAGTCGACAGAAGGCAGAGGAGCAACAATGTTGAGTGAGCCATGGTGATTTTTTTGGATGAAAATTGGAGTGGTCTCTGCAAGTTTATATAATGGAGAAATGGAGTGTGTGTTTGAAATCTATGGAGTATGGAGTTATGATCTTAACCGAAATTCTGTTTCAACAACTTTAGAAAATCTGAACTGAGTTCAAGGTTTTACTGAGTTTTGATTCTGAATACTGATCTGTATTTTTCCATTTAAATTCTTGCCAACAAAAATTGCAGAAAAGAGAAAAAATATATCTATATGTGTAATTTTGTGTGGATATTGTTTTTTCTTTGATTTTTGGAAAGTAAATGTTAGGTATAAAAACATAGCGTATCTGATTATAGCCTTTACAATAATTCAATACTTAATATGTGTAATTTACTAAAAAAAATAATTAAATATTGAGTTATTATTATTTTTAGCTTAAAAAAAATAATAACTCAATATTTAATTTACTAAAATTTTAATTCTCTAAACATATCCATTTGAAAGTTCAAATATGAGTGGGAAATTATGGAGTTCCACAATTCAAAAAGAAAAGCTTGATAGGTTCAAGTTAATGAAATTTAACAATCTTACTAATTCTAATGTTTTTTCTTAGTTAATTTGTAAGATAATAAAAGAGGGGTTTCATTTATATTAAAAATCATTTTAAATTATGTATATTTAAATAAATATTATCTTATATTATACCTATGCTTAAGTTGGTTGGATAGATAGTTTGAATGAAAAACAAAGTTAAAAAGTTATCTAAAATTTCGCGGAGAATCGTCTTTTAATTTCTTTTAAATCTATCTACCTCCTCCTTTCTAACTAAATATATGATATTATATTTTTAATAACTGATTTAGGATTTGTCGTCTCTCACCTTCATCTTTGTATACTTCTCGATTGTCTGAACATTCCTCACTAAACTTTATTTTAAATTTAATATATGTTTCAAAATTTTTAAAAAGATATTCAAAGTCAAATCCGAATATTGATGTAGTTACATACGCCTATAAATTAATGTCAAAGATTTGATTATTAGAGGCTGGATCGGCATGGTCAAAACTATCTCAAGACTGGTCATGTGTTGAGTTTTGGTTGGGTAAATTGATTGTCGTTAGAATTAAAAAATAATTAATAATAATAATAATAATAATAAACTTTTAAAATTACGTAATCAATCACCTTTGTCCCAATTGTTACCTTACATAGAATACAACTACAAAATTAAGATGTTAATTTTTTAAATAGTCACAAACAATTTTATCTATATATGTGACATTTTTTAGTTTTGAATTATATTTTCCATTAATAGATAAATTTTAGATTAAGAATTCAATATAATTTCTCTCGTTTCTTTTCCACCTAGTGAAGCTTTCTGGCCACGTTGACTCTGGAGTGCTGGCACATATCAAAAGAATTGTCATATTTGTGCGCACTAGTAAACATACGATGTTCTCGTAAATCAACATGACATTTCTACATTCATTCTCAATCTGAAAAAAAAATAACTAATTACTAGTTAAGGAAAAGATGTTTGATTTGTTTAATTAATTGAATGGCTCGACATTGTGAAGCGAAAAATTGTTTCACTTTGTCCACTATTAATGTGCATATGAAATTTTGCGTCTCATTCTATTTCATAGTTTTAAACAAGCTAGACTTAAAAATTTAAAAACTAAAGGAATATTGATTTTAGAAAATATATGYAACCATGGAGACGGTATTTGATATTCTAATCTCAATTCCTGGAAAAATTATATAACAAAATAGGACATCCTCTAATAATTTCAAAGATTAGAATATAATTTTCATGGTAAGATCAAAAGAAAAAAAAAACATTGCCTATAATTTCACGCTACTCCTACTAAAAAGCTGACTTGTGCGAGCGTGAAACTAAGAACAAAGGTGTAAAACGATCAATTTAATATTATTTTGTTTTAGAAAAAATGTAAAATATATCCTTTTCATTTTTAGTAAATTATTCAATAGACATGCTGAATCCAAAATATCAATGAATGGACGATCCATGCTCGTAAACCAACTTTTAGACAAAAGAAGCAAACATCTTGATAGATATAAAAATAAACTAAATAAAATAAAGTTTTGTCCCAAAATGAGTTGAATAAATGGTTTATTATAAATTAAATTTTAATCTATACAAATTTGGTTAGAGTTGTATTTTGGTCTCTAAGTTTCAAAATCTAATAATTTAGTCCGTAAAATTTTAAAAATGTTTCAAATGGTCTCTTACGTGACAAGTATTTTTATGTATAGGGTCATTGAACCGGCCCAACCAACAACTAGAGCTGTATGCATTATATGAACAGAAAGCAAACGACCGGGATCATTCAATACAAGAACACGATACCAAGACAAACCCATGGAAATACCCCTTTATGAACGAAAAATAGACACTATGTAACTTTATTGCACTGAAAAAAACTAAGCTGTGGACCTCCCATTTTGAGGGGATTATCTTGGCGAAAGGATTAATATTTGGTCTATTCTTTTAGTAATAATGGAACAATTCTATTCTATTTGTAGGAACAAAAAGAAGCAGATGTATTCTATATTCGATAAGTACCACGGTACATTATTTTGAATTTATTTATTCATTGATAGAGAAAATTTAGATTTAAAATTAAAATATCCTTAGCTCTCGAACCAGTTTTTCCATCCATATTTTGGGATTATTGGAAGTAAAATTGGTGGTGGACCGGTCATTGCAAGTGTTGATCATCAGCTCTAGAGTGTGACTTTGCTTGTACATGATCCGTGGAACTCCGACATTCAAAGACTCATAAACTGACATGACATTTACATATTCATCTAAATCTAAAAGAAAGTAATTAATTATTATTAAAGGGAGCAAGGTTAGATTTGCTTAATTAACTAATTTAAGCTAGGTTATCTTGTGAAGCGGAGAGGTTCTCATATTTCTATGATATTTGATGTTCTAATCTCAATTTTTGGGAGATTGTATAACCGATCTATAATGAAGTTGCCCAGATTAAACGGATAATCTAATGAAGTTGAAAGTTTAGGACAAAAATTGCAGCACAATTGAAACAAACAAAAAGAAGAAAATTTAGAAATTAGAAATTAGAAAGAAAGAGAGTCTAAAAAAAGATAATTGTTGTTGAGAGGTTGGAAAGGAAACATTCGTGGTGTTACTGTTGATCCTAAAAATAAGTGCAACAACAAACTCCCAAAAATAAGGTAGCAAAATGGGAGTTATAAAAGCAGTAGCAAATCTCCATTCCCCATCATCTCCACACCTCTGAGAACTGAAACGAAGAAAGAAAGAAAGAAGAGAGCTAACGAGAAGAAGAAGAAGAAGAAGAAAACACAAAAAAAAAAAAAAAAAAGAATGGGGAAATTCGAAATGATCCTTGTTTCGGCACTGTGCTTGGTGTCGCTCTTGGGCGCAGTGTCGTGCCAGAAGGACAAGGATAAGTTCTTCGTGGAGGGGAAGGTGTACTGCGACACTTGCCGCATCCAATTCTTCACCAAAGTCAGCAAATTCCTCGAAGGTAACAGGAAGCCCTAATTCCTAATTCTAATTCCAATTCTGAATTTTGGAGCCCTAATTTTTGAAATTGGATTTGAAATCTGCAGGGGCTACCGTGAAATTGGAGTGCAAAGACAGGGAAGGAGGGAGTGTGACCCTGAGCAAGGAGGGGGTGACGGACAAGACGGGGAAATACAGCATCGAGGCAGACGGAGACCACGAGGAGGAGGTGTGCGAGGTGGCGTTGGTGAAGAGCACCGATCCGGACTGTAACGAGAAGTCGGAGGAGGGGTACGGACACAAGGCCAGAGTCAGCATCACCGGCAACGTCGGAATCATCGACCCCGTCCGCCATGCCAACCCGCTCGGCTTCATGAAGAAGGAGAAGCTCCCCGAATGCAAGGAGGTCCTCCGTGAGCTCGGTTTCGACGACGAGGGCAATCCCGTCTAAATCAATCTCCACTTCTTCCGCTTATTATCCATTATTATTATTCCTCTCTTATTATTTCCAATCAAATCAAATAAATAAATAAAATCGTCTTTCTACCTTTTTTCTTTTTCTTCCTACAAATGTAATGCTAATGTCTTTTGATGAATGACTCTCTTCCGAGAGTTCCAATCATTAAAAGAATTTACATAATACGGACCAAATTAGTTCTAATGGTAAATACTAAAAACAGAACTCTAAAAAATAAAAATAAAAAACAAAAATAAATTCAACCTACAATAATTAAAATGGATAAAAAAAACTAAATATATAGAGTCTAAAATAATATTTAATCCCCACACGGGCCACACACATGATTAAAAAAATCAAATTTTAATTAAAATTATGGAATTTAATTTTCCTTAAAAAAATATTATGGAGTTCAATTTTGTGGAATAAGTCCCTACCTATCGGTCAAGGACCGTAAAGGCAAATCTTGGGCTTTTATTGAAACTTTACGGCCCATAATGATCCTGGTGTATCATTCGAAGCGTCTCAGTTTATTGGCCCATCATGTAGGGCTTGTAATTTTATATTTTAATTCAAAATTAAAAAAAAAATTAGGTGTCCAATTAAAATAATAATATAAGCACAAGTTTTGCTGTTTCTCTTTTCTTTATAAAATTAGTGATATGAATTAGTACATACACTCAACTATCCCAAATAAGCATTGAAAAAAAAAACTAAAAGGAAGAATTGCATGTGATGAAAAATGTTGTAGCATATGAATGCCAATTTGATATTTAATTCAATAATTGAATCAAATTAAATTACCATATGAAACTCCAAGAAAGCAATAGGTGTTTGAAAAATAACAAATGAGGATTTTTTTTTTCTTTTTTGAGGAAAAATGAGGATTCAATTCAAATGCGCGTGACCTTTTTCTTTAATTTTATTATAGAAAAATATATGATTTGATTTGTTGACTTTAAAATGGTTTTTTTTTTTTTTTTTCCATTTTTTAAAGGAGGTGGTGTGATGGTTTCTCTGTCCAGTCGGCCACGCCTTGTCATCTCATCTTTGAATCCTTCAAAATACGTAGAAAAATAAGAAAACAAAATCATCGTTTTCTACTATGCTTTTAGTTTATTTTATTCTTATTTTTTAATTAACAGTAGAAATATATATAATTTGCCCCTTAATTTTTTTTTTTGCCAAAGAAAATAGTTTAATTAAAACCAATCTGCTTGGGAAAGAAACCCCAAAACTTAATTTCCTCTGCAAGATTCTTGAGGAATAATAATGTATCTTTATTTAGAAGTATATTATGAACATAAATATATATCTATATAGCTATGCTTTTGGTTATGTTCACTTTAACTTTACATAAAACATTTAATTAGTTTTGTCTCTGTCAGAGATGTTTTACAAAAGACATCTTGTTAATGAGAGGTTACAAACATTAACAAAAATAATTTTTTAAGGATTAAAATAAAATATTTAAAATTTTAACAAACCGTTGAATTGTATGAGACCAAAATAAAATAAAGTTGAAATACAAACTTGTTTTTTAGTTAAAAAAAGAGAAAGAGTATATGAATTTGAATGTTCGAACTCAAGGAAAGGAGTTAGTACCAATTACCCGTGAGTTATTCACGAAATACAAATCTTTTAAACTTAAATATACACTATTTACAATTTTTGATGCAATATAGAGCTCAAGTGACGTTAAAAAAAAAACCAAAAAATAAAAGAAAGTCTACTTAAAAACGTAGTACTAGAATAACCTCAAAGTCATATTTATCGAAAAACCTCAAAGTCATATTTATCTAAGATCAAAATCATAGTAACATATTGTCAAAAAAAAAAAAATCATCCTAACATGCTATAATGTATATCTACTTTTAACTATCTAATAAATTGCAATTAAACATATCACATGCTTTAAATTACAATATATTGTATTTTTTTTTCTTTTTTTACTCCGACAAAACCTTCAACCTCAAAAATATAAGTTAGGTATTAACTATTGAGTTATTGTCATATTAACATTACAATATATTATAACAATAAAAATACATTTAACTTTTTTTCTAAGAAATAAGTAGTATAAGAAAATATGAGAGAAAAAAAAAAGTCCAATATTGCACCTTTTATACACTCCACATTGGATTTTTATATTTTATGCTCTCTTTAATTACTTTGATATCCACGCAATATTGTAATTCAAATAAAGTGGAAATAATATATTTTAAGAAAATATAGTAAATATAAATTACAAAATCACAATTTTAATTTAGATCTCAGTAACTGTGGTAAACTTTCCATTTTATATCTTACAAATTTCTAAATACCAATAAATTTCCAACAAGTCTACCATTTTATTTAGATTGATTTTGACTTAATCAAGATAACTTAGTCAATAATACACATCTAGAGATTAAAAAAAAAAAACAGCAAAAATCACACCAATATTGTTACAAGTTTGAAGTTGAACCATGTTTAGATCCATGAAAAAAGAGAATTTTACAAATTGAAAATATTAGTAATAATATTGAAGAATCCAAGTAAGATATTAGTTTTACAAAAATATCGACTAGGAATCGATATTGTTAAAGAAGAAGAAACAACCATGGCCTCCACA